AATTCAAACCTTACTTGCTGGGAACACGATTTCAACCAATTACTGATTGTAAGGCTTGAAAATATCTTTTCAATCCTCGATCACGCCCTTGTCCGAGAATCGAGCGCAGGGTCTTGCGGCTTGAGGCTTATGATTACAAGATTATTTACGAACCAGGATCGAGTAATCTCGCTGATTCGTTAGCTCGATTGTTGGTGTGTTCCCCTAAAGCATTCGACATATCAACAGATGCCTACATTCGCCAGTTGATAGAACACTCAATTTCCGATGCTGTAGTATTAAATGATGTCATACAAGCGACCAAGAATGATACGACGCTCCAAGAGCTTATGTAAGCTTTGGAAACAGATGTATGGCCAACGAGCGTTAAGGGTTATTTTTGAGAGCTTGCGACAGGTGTGTTATAAGGATTGCTGCAGTAAAAAGACTGAAAGAGCCGTTAAACCCTTCAATCAATCCCGTTAAGGGTTATAAGCAGTTCAAAACCGAGCTTCACACGGCGGCTGGATGGACATCCTGGGATGATCGTTATGAAACGCCGTCTACTTCGAAAAGTCTGGTGGTTGAAAATGGGCGACCAAGTGGATAAATACGTCAAAAGCTGTAATCTTTGCACCATGGTGTCAACATTTGGACCTCCCGAGCCTATGCAAAGAACCAAGATGCCTACAAAAGCGTGGTCAGAGGTTGCCATTGATTTTTTGGGACCGCTTCCTAATGGATACAATTTGCTAGTGCTAATTGACTACTTTAGTCGGTTTGCGGAGGTCATTATCATGAAGCAAACAACAGCAAAGTTAACGGTGAAGGCTCTTTTCGAAACTTTCAGTCGTTTCGGAATTCCGGATATACTTCGATCTGACCACGGGCCACAACTTATAAGTGAATCAATGAAAAGGTTCTGCAAGGAATTCGGCATTCAGCAGCAGTGAACAACGCCATATTGGCCACAGGCTAATGGAGAGGTCGAGCGTACGAACAATACAATTTTGAAACGGTTGCGCATAAGTCAAGAATCGCAAAATTCTGACTGGAGATGGGACCTTAGAAACTTTCTACTTATGTACAATAGGGTGTTTCATTTTGAAAAAAGTGATGAATTTTTGATAGGCCACCCTCCAGTTCGATTCATAGCCCCAAAATATGAACCTGTGCAAAAAATGGTAAAGATTGATGAAGGTTTAGAGGTCGCGCCAATGATTTGGATTTTGTATGGAGATTTTGGTGAATTAGTATGGGAAATTATTGATTTTCGTTTACATTGCTCTAACTTTGGTTGTAGTTGTCCAAACGTTGAAAAAAAAAAATATGTGGTTGTCATGACAATGATCAACAAGCCTGTTGTTGTTGCGATGAAATTGGCGTTGTTGCCTTGTACATATTCATCTGTCAATTTACCCTATTTTGCCATTTTTTCACATTTTTATTATTCTTGATACGCTGCAAAACTGAGCGTAGCAACTGTAGGCTTTTTGTTTATTGCCATAGCAATAACATACTAAATTTTTTCGACATTTGGACAAGTAGAAGCAAAGTTATAGCGATATAAGCGATTTTTTAAATTCTTCCATAGTAATTCCCATACAAATTTCAAATCATTGGCGCGACCTCTAAACCTTCATCAATCTTTACCAATTTTTGCACAGGTTCATATTTTGGGGCTATGAATTGAACTGGAGGGTGGCCCATCAGAAATTCATCACTTTTTTCAGAATGAAGCACCCTAATGTACAACTCCACACCACACACTACAACTAGAGTTGCTTCTTCAGTGCTGATGTTCGGAAGGATCCTAAGAGATAAATTGCCAAGTGTCACGGGAAGAGTGGACCAAATGACTGAGGGGATAAGAGACCGAGATTGGAGTTTGAAACTACAGGCAGCGGAGTCAACGAACAAACGAAAAGATGCAAAGGAAAATACGTTGAAGGTTGGTGATTTGGTGATAGCGAAACGGACTATGAGAGAGCATAAGTTGTCCAGCAATTTTGGATCAGAGCTGTTTGAAGTCATCAGCCGCTCAGGATCAGAAGCCAAAATCTGCTCTAGATCGACAGGAAAATCGTTTCTCATCTGAAGCCGATTGCGTTAGAAACGCAAGATGAACCCGAAGCTGACCCAGTAAAGCAAAATGAAGGCGCTGATAATCCTCTAGTGAAGGATACACCACAGGAAAATGAAGACCAGATGCCAACTGAAAAGGTACGTGATCGTCGTAATTCAAAACCGCCCAGATACTTGAAGGAATATGTAATAAAAGTTGATTTTGATTCTAAGAAAAAGGGAAGTGTGCTATCTAACATGTGTTATTTACCATCAGTGTATGACAGACAGATAGCGCATATAGGGCATGAACAAAGACAAGCATAGGGCGGTAGCCAGAAGCGTAGGAAAAGTGAGACGGAGGAGTTGAGGAGAAGGTTGGAAGCGAACGCAAATAAAGAGTGAGTGTAAAAGCTAAAAGTGTTACAACAGAATATTCAGGATTCATTCAACATTGATCACATTTACGGATTTTTCGAATCTTCCGGAGGACGGTCCTATGGCCATCTGAGTCCATGTTTATGTCACGACCACAAATTCATTCTTATATCACAATTCCTAACTTTTTCAAGAAAACCACGGAGCTCTAGGATCAGTTTCGTGAATTTTCCACTTTCACGGATGTTCTGGATCTTCCGGAGGACGGTCAGATGGCCATCAAGGTCCATGTTTATGTCACGACCCCAAATTCATTCTATCATCTCAGTTCTTAGTGTTTTTCAAAAACTGCGTAGCTCTAGGATCAGTTTCACGGATTTACCACTTTTACGGATGTTCCGGATCTTCCGGAGGACGGTCCCATGGACATCCAGGTTCATGTTTATGTCATAACCCAAAATTCTTTCTATCATCACAGTTCCGAATGTTAAAAAAACGCGGAGCTCTAGGATCAGGATCGTGCATTTACCACTTTTACGAATATTCCAGATCTTCCGCTGGACGGACCGATGGCCATCTGGGTCCAAGAAACAAATTCATTCTTATATCACAGATCCTAATGTTAAAAAACGCGTAGCTCTAGGATCAGTTTCATGGATTGATCACTTTTACGGATGTTCCGGATCTTCCCTGAGGACGGTCCTATGGGCATCCAGGTTCATGTTTATATTACAACCCCAAATATTTCTTTCATCACAGTTCCTAATGTTTTCAAAAAAAAAACCCGCAGAGCTCTAAGATCATGATCTTGGATTTACTACTTTTACGGATGTTCCAGATTTTTCGAGGACCGTTCCGTTGTCTCCAGGATCCATATATAGGAACCATGACTGTTTTCTGGCTGATTGTGAACATTTGTGCCCATTAATCTAAATTACAGATCTTGCGACACTTACAAAAAAACGTGTAACAACTCTTTTCGCTTTAAAAAAAAAATAGACTACTCTGTTTGCAATATTTTTACAATGTAAATAATCTGCAGATCCTAGGAATTCTAAAGGTACCACAATTTTTGAAATTCATTAAGAAATGGCTAAGTTATGCCATTGCAAACTTGCCGTTACACGTTTTTCGGAGGCATCGTATTCGGAGTGTTAAGAAGGTTTAACACATTTCAGGTCGGTTTTAGCTTTATGGGCCATGAACACAGGAACTTTTTCTAGTAATATCTCCGAAACAAGTTGAATGGCTTAAAAAAGTCAATAGAGTTCTATGAGACCATAATACCTATCAGTTGGTGGTTATTAAATTCCTTGCCGATAATTATAATTACACTTAAGATGAACCATCATTTCAAACTGCGTGAAATATTTCAAAAAAAAAAAAAATCTGGCTGCATCCTGATATGTATGTACATCTTACTATAACACGTGTTGTCAGTTGTTTTGAATAAATATCCTGAATTTATAAAGAGACGTCATGTCAAAATTGGAACAATAGATTGTCTGTCAAAGTCATAGGAAAAGTTATTTCAATCGAGCAGAAGATCTGTCAAATGGATAATATGTCGCCTCTTTACCCCATTCAGTCTCTTTAATTTTGAATATTTTGCGAGGAAATGTGAAAATGCGTGGCCTTACTCCTGAACAAAGAAAACGGATTGTGCACAAATGGTGTACCGTGAGTGGACTTTTCCAAATAAAACTGGCTAAGAAAGAGGGTGTGAGCGTTGGAGCAGAACAAACCGCATTCCGGAAGTATGAAGAATCATGTACTTTCGATGATTCTCCGAGGCGTGGAAGAAAATCTGGCCCCGTTGACCCTGCAATCGACCGGAAGATAAGATATCGTTTTGAACAGCAGTCATCAGCATCAGTGCGTGATGTTGCGAAGATGATCGGTACTTCGGTAACAAATGTCATGCGACCAAGAAAAGATTGGGATTGGAAACCCATCGGCAGCATAAGCAACCAAAACGAAGTTAAAAGCAGGCTGCATTGGTGAAGACAAGAGCTCGGAAGCTGTACAACTCAATGCTGGGGGAAAATCTGGTTGTATAATCATGGATGATGAGACATACGTGAAAATCAATTATATATATATTTTTTTTAGTTCTTTATTAAGGAAATTTTTTGCCTATGGCTAGTTCATCTTAGGAGAAAGGAGAGGGCTCAGAGTGAGTAGCCTCTAGATAATGGTATATTAACATTTAGTTAATAACTTTGGTTGCTGGCTCTTCAACTTATATGAAAAAATAACAATATATAAAATAATGAAACAGAGGAACAACAGAAAACAAAATGATTTAAGACAAGCTACAAACGATTAATCCAAACAAAACAGAGCTCAGCTGGCATGGGTCCAATAGGGGAAATCCATCCAGATGTCCCGACGGCCGAAAGAAATTCATGCTATACCAAGTGGTAGATTTTGGCTTCTTTTAAGAAGGTTAGTAGTGCTGCCGAGGCCGAAGTATTATTCCCGAGCAGATCGCTGATGCTGGAAGTTAGGCAGAGTGACTCTCGAAGATTTTGGAACTCCGGGCAGTTGCACAGGATGTGTTCGACGGTGTAGGGTACCCCACAGATGATGCAGCTTCTGTGGAACGGCAGGCCACCATAGTTATAGTAGAGTTTTATGTGCCCGGTTCGAAGCCACGAAATCACGCGTTGATCCCTCAGGTTGTCCAGTTCGCTCCATGGTTCAGTTGAACCTTTTACTTTGCGGATGAAGGCAGTTCTGTTGCGGAACCACTCAGCTTCCCATGCCGCTCGAATGGTCCGCATGATCCACCGTCTGACGTCCTGTAGGGGTACCTTGTTGGTGAGTCTGGGACCCGATGTCCCGGCTCCGGCAAGGTGATCAGCAGACTCGTTACCTGGTACTCCGCAGTGTCCGGGAATCCATGTGTACACGGTGTTTGGTGGGGCATACTTGATAATCGCCTGGATCCATGGGTGTTTTGCTGCTTCCGAGGTGATCGCTTGAACGACGCTGTGTGAGTCGGTTAATATAAGTATCGGTTTGTTGGCTGGCGTCGTACCGGCACGGAAGATCGCTGCAGCCTCGGCCGAGAAAACCAAGCATTGTGGAGGAAGACTGCTGCTTTCAGCAATACCGTCTCCAAAAATCCCAATACCTACTCCGTTTATCGATCGGGAGCCGTCGGTGTACCGATGTACGTGGTCGGCATAGTTGGACCCAAGTAACTCGGCGACTGATCTGCGCAAAATCATGGATGCATCCCCTGCTTTGAAGCGGTTCTTGATCCGATTGTCCAGTTGGATTCGTGAAGAGTGCCAACTTTTCTCTCCATGCCAATGGACTTTGGCCACTGGGGGGAGGTCGATGTCGGCGGCCGTGCGGAGGACTTTGTTCCCCTCGTCGAGGAGAAAGATCCTATTGTTTCCGGAGTACTTGGCGGAAAAAGCGGCGGCTTTTGTGGCAATATTTGCGTTTAAGCAGAACCGGAAAGGAAGAAGACCCACTTAGATGCATGCGGCGTCTGCTGGAGTGGATGGCAGGAGACCAGATATGATACGGATGTAGCTGTTGTAGACTAGTGCTAGGGTTCTAACCAGCTTCTCGGAAGCGATGCAAGTAATTTCCGTCCCGTAAAGCAACCGACTGTCGATGATGGCTCACGTCACCCGGAACCGAACATCGCGGTTGTTCGATCGGTGAGGCCGAGAGATCGTTTTGGAATGGCTTGCTCGTGGATCGTAATTGGGGTGCTATTGACTCTATGTTGAGACGGACATACGTGGCATCGGATGCTCTTCCTGGCGGATAGCTGGAAACCCATCGAGTCGGTCCATTTGATGACGGCAGAGACTGCCGCTTGCGCTTGCCGTAGGGTTCAGATCTGTGTAGGACCGGAAGCCATAATCAGCACATCGTCAGCGTAAACAAATATATAAATGCGCACAGCTAGCCGGTCAAATACCCCGTTCATTGCCTCCAGAAACAACGTGACAGCGATAACGGAACCTTGAGGGGCTCCGGTCTCCTCGCTGAAACTTTTCGACCGCGTGTTCCCCACCAATACACGAAATGACCGGTCGGTCAAGAAGTTTCGTATGAAATACATCATATGCCCCTTCAAGCCCCAGTTTGTTAGTTTTTTTCAGGACGGCTGGCGTCCACGTCCGGTTGAAAGCCTTGGATATGTCCAAAGAGATGATTTCAACGTGGTGCACTGGTGGTGTTCCTGGTAGTAAGCTTCCTTGAGCACGTCCCCCAGAGTGGCAAAGTACGTGGACGTACCGAAACCTTATCGAAAGGCATGTTGTCGGTGGTCGAGCAAGCTGTTGGTCTCAAGGAGCATCTTGAGTCGACGGTTCACCATCCGTTCGAATACCTTGGCCATGCAGGATGTGAGAGCGATCGGTTGGAACTTAGATGTGCCCCTGTCTTTTTCGTTTGCCTTCGGGATGGGCACGACGAGACTCTCCTTCCACAGCGTCGGGTAGGTATCAGAGACCCAGAGTTGGTTGAGCATCTCAAGCATGCAACACTTGCCCTCAAGGGGCAGCTTTTTTAAAAGTGGATACCCGAGATCGTCAGGTCCTGCAGATTTGCCGTTGCTGCGGCTTCGTGCGTGCTGGAGTTCCTCCCAGGAGAAAGGCTCGTTGATCTCGAGGTTGTCCGTGTCAGGCGGGATGCTGAACTCAGCGACTGATGTACGGGTAGGCTTTACCAACCGCTGAAAGTGGCTATCGTAACCAGAGATGGCCGAAATTTCTGCGGAATATCCTCCGAGTTCTTCGGCGACGGCTGCCGGTTTGGAGATGGTAACTCCGTTAGCTTGTACATGTAATGGCGTCGAGTGCCGTTTACCGCTGAGAGCATTAACCCTGCTCCAGAGATCGGCAGAGGACTGGGAGGCGTCGATGCTTTCAAGGAAACCAGACCAACTGTTTAGCTTCGCACTTTTCACTTCTTTTCTGCATTTAATATGCAGTGCACGGTACCGGGTTAATAGCTCTTCCCTGTTTGGGTCATCTCTTGGGGTTCGCCTGAGTTTCCGTAGAGCTTTCCGGTGGGCTTTAACGGCTGTTTTTGGTGTCTTCACTCCACCAACAGAGGGCTTTTCGTCCAGGTAGGCTACTGGTCTTTGGTATGGTAGCGAATGCAGCATCTAACACCAACTTAGAAAAATCCGGGATGGTTAGCGGATTACGTTCGAGGATCAGCGACAGAATTGTCCCCTGAAACCTATCCCAGTCAGCCTCGTCGTACCGCCAGCGAGGCCTTTTCGTGACTTCTGGGGCCGTGGCTGACGGAAGCTGCATTTGGATGGGGTAATGATCACTTCCGTACAAATCCGCATTGGTGCACCACGTGACTTTTCCTGCTATGGAACGGCTGATCGAAGATACGTCGATAGCCGAGGCGTGACGTCCGTTGAAGAATGTTGGGTTTCCATGGTTGAGCACCACCATGTCTTCCTGATCGAGTAGGTCCATTAGGATGCTTCCTCTAGGATCCGGACGAGGACAGCCCCAAGTTGGATGATGCCCATTGTGGTCTCCGACAAACATCCTTGGTTCGGGTAGCTTACTGAAAACGCCGGTGATTTTATTTGACAGATTTTGTAGCAATGTTCTCCCACATGGCAGGTATGCTCAGGCAATCGCAATGTTTGCCGGCTTCTCCAATTGAACAGTAACTATGGGAAGATCAGTTTCCAGGTCAATCTCGTTAAAAGGTATGCTCCTTAGAACACCAATGGCTACGGAGTGGCGAAAATTGCTGCCTCTCTTGAGGGTCCAGGCGTATTTTCCGGTAAGAGAACGACCCATCTGGTCCACCATCACCTTGTTAACTTCTTGGAGAGCTATCACCCAGGGTGGATTGCTGTGGCAAAGCATCTCCAAGTCGCCGAGGTGGTTCAGGAAACCGTTCACGTTACACTGGAGGATAAAGTTGATGGGTACTGGCAGAGCAGAAACGGGGTGTCTGCTGGTGGTAACGTCCTCGGAGGGACAGCTCAAGTCTTCCAACTCGCTGATATCAAACAAGTGGGAGGCTTGCGTCTGACTAGAGTTGCTGCTTGACAGTTCGCTGTGTCCAAAATAAGACAGGCAGGCGATAAGTTTGGCAGGCGATATGCCAGTTTACCTGAAAGAATGTCTGCAAAACAGATTACTACCCTTCATCAGACAGCATGACAAACCTGTAATCTTTTGGCCTGATGTTGCTTGCTGCCACTTTTCAAAGGATTCGCTAGAGTGAATCATAAAGTCATATATGTGCCAAAAGAGATGAATCCGCCAAATTGCATTGAGGCTTGCCCTATAGAAACTTTCTAGGCTTTGACGAAGGCAAAGCTTAGGAAACATGTTAAACCAGCGGATACAGTTGAACAATTCAAGAAAGATTGGGCTAAAGTGGTAAAAATGGTAGGTGAAGGTAGGAACTGTGCAAAGCTAATGAGCAGTGTCAATGACAAATTTAGAAAACTCGGATTCTCACAATAAAATCCTGCAAATTGAATTTATGTATGAAAGAAAACGTGATAATAAACAACATTTAAAAAACAAATTAGCTAAAACTTTACACTAGTTTTATTTAAATCACTAACAAAGTGCATTTATAATTAACAGAACAGTCTATACGTCGAGTGGTTGTCGGGAAACATGACTTAGTTTGCAAAATCCTTGTTTTCGGATTGTGTTCCAGCCATATCTCTGGAACCGGATGACCGATTCCAAAACTATTCAAAAGCATTATATGAGACATTTTCCATTTGACGGTTGTAGCGTCCAATTTGGTTTAGAGGTTACCGAGAAACACTGCTTGAATCCCAAAATCCGTGTTTTTTTGATCTCGTTCCGGCCATATCTCCGGAACTAATTATCCGATTCTAAAAACATTAAATAGCATGTTATGGGACTATTATACCGTTCATTTGGTGTTTGTTGCTGAATAAGTGATGTCGGAATTGTTTGACTCATACACAAATCGCCAAAAGCGAATCATAATTATCATTATTCTATAGGAGGGTTAAGCGGACAAAGCAATAGTTGACCCTATATTACACTAAAATCAATAGTTTTGAAACCTTTTGAGGGATTGAATATCGCTAAAATCAAAATTAAGGCCATTGGCCGCATTTTCAAAACGGGACACCATTTGCAAAACACTGTTTGAAGTTTAGAGTAACGCTGAAGTGTTTTTATGAATAATACGTGATTTTTTTTTCAAATTTCTAACACACAGTTTTGTTTTTATTAGAGCCTAGAAGAAATGCCAAGAATAAACTAGGGTTCATTAGCATGCTCGAAAAAATACATTTCTGCGATGGTGTCCCGTTACGAAATGTAACGCGTTATAATTATCACATTAAAGACGTTACATTCTGAATTGAATATCACATCAGAAAGCAAATTAAGCCATAATTCAAAACCTGTTTCATCTCTTGGCCACAAAGTTTATTCCCTAAAGTGGGCTTAACATGTTAATGAAAGTCGACTCCTCTCTGTCTGATTATCGACGTTATTTTTTTATATTTTATATTCCGTTTCGAAATCGATGTTTGATAGATAATTTGTGAAAAAATTTGTAGAACCATACTTTGCAACCCTTTTCTTTAGCGTCATGCGTGATATGAAATCAACCATGTTTTGTCAGGCTTATCAGAAGCCCCCACATGCCACATCATTCATGAGTTGCACATTTCTGCTTCGTTCTTCTACAGCATGAAGAACAAATTAAAAGTGACAACTACTGTAATCCCATTACCCCCGGAACAAGCTATCGGAATTACAAATTTGTACCTTTCGATGCATCATTCTCTTCAGTCCGTCCGTAACTCCAACACTGGGCAGAGGCCAGCCACGAAACCAACTCCTCCGAATGGAAAGTGAAAGAAGACCTGCCGGAGACAAACATTTGCATTTAAATTAGCTCCGATCGCGAAGAATCGTGCCAAATGGTATAGAAGAAGCATATAGCATCTGCATTCTGGTGCGGCCCACACACGATGTCCACCGCGCAAGTAGATATGAAAGTGTACTTTCAGGGCTCTTCTCTCTCTCTCTTTTAGCTATCTCTCTCTCTCCGCTGGCTGGAAGGTTAAAACAAAAAGCATACAGGATTGCAAACCACCACCACCAACCTTCACCGCACCGGCACCGACCTCGATCTCGTGTTGGGCTGGACTGAACAGCAGTATAAGATGTGGTGTAGGTGGCTTCTACGAAGGCAGAACAGGCAGCCAGTGCACAGTGAA